AACTCCAATCTGAAACCTTACTAACAAAATTTACCTTCAAAAAGTATAAGAATGCACCTTTTGACTTCATATTAGATATGACGGCAGCTGTATACAGTATACTATGTGTGTGTGAAAACGTTAGCCGCCATATATTTTGTTAAAACTTAAATCTAAAACGAAAAACATTCTAAAATAACTCCTATAATAAAGCGAAACTGCCGCAGTTTCTTATCTTCTTTGGAATTAGATAGAGATTAGAGAAGGAAAATTCCTGGGCGCATTAGAAAAAAAAGCACATACATATACATGGAAGTTCTGCTAGTTTATGAGGTTGTGCAAAGCAACAAAAGGGTAGAATAGAAAGAGAGAGGACTCAAACCTAGATCGCGGGCGAGAATGGCGACAGTGTAGCCTTCGTGTGCGAACTTTCGAGCGACGGAACGGCCAAGCTGTGGACCGACGCCGACCACCGCCGCTATGCCTTTGCCGTTGGAGCTCGAACTCCCTACGTTTCTCATCATCATCAGTTCTTTATGATATGTTCACTGTCCTTTCCTCACTTTCTTTCTCTTTATAATTTATACTTCGCTCTAAATTTTGGATAAACGTATGAAAATAAAATTGATAATTTCTATAGTTGTTGTCGGCGTAAACTGGCCCCTTAACCTAGGTCAATCTCTAAGCTCTCTTTCTTTCTCTATTTATTAAGATTGTGTTGACTGTTGTAAAGATATATACCGATATTCTTGTGGACTAGATACATTTTCGTTGCTATATATAAACCTCTTGTCATTTTTATCATAAAGTTTCCATATAGGCATATACTTTAATAAAATAACATTAAAACTAACTTTGCCATAATGTAAAAGTATAAGTGGACTGTGGAAACGTATATGTACCTTTATTGATTTAATATTCGACATCAAAACTTTTCCATGGTGTAAATGTATACGTATATACGTATAATACCTTTATTAATTTACGTATATATGCCTTTATTCATTTAATATCTTACATAAATATATGTGTTCTTGGTGAAAGAATGGCCTGCAGTGTATATTGTGGTTATTAGACAAAGAGACATGTCATGTGGGAGAATTTGTGGCAATTGGTTCTTACTCGTTAGACTCAAAAGGTGTGTCGAAAAGATTAAGGAGGTGGGCTTTTGTGAATTAAGTGGTTGAGGACTCATCTATTGGTGAAGACTGAAGACTATGTATCAAGTTGTTCTTTATGCGAATATTTTATTTTATTTGCATCTGCTTTCTTTAAACACTTTTTTTTGAAACACTTGCATCTGTTTATTTGATCTTGTAAACAGATCTTGGACTAATTTGGAATTCTTCGCATTTTTTAACTCGATTCCTTTTAGAAAAACATCATGTATGATATTGTTTTATTAACTAAGATTAGAAATTAATGTGGAATTGATATGGGATTATTCTTATGTTGGCACTGTGATATATATATATGCATTTTTTAGAACTACAATTTATATAGAATGAATATAACAGAAAAATATATCATTTGAAGCCATTTGCTTTCCTTTATGGGAATAATATTATTTCCCCTTTGATTTTATTTTTGTCTTGCAAGTTGGAGATTTGTTGCCCCCTTTCCTTTTCTGTCTACAGCTCATCGGCATATCAAACATATACATACAAATATAACATATGCAAATGCATGTACCTCTTCTTACTTCACCGAAGTTTCTAGATAAGTATATGTGTATTTGAATTCTGATTTTGATTTTTAAAGTTCACATCACGTGATTGGGATCCAAGAACATTGCCTCTACTCTTATACGTCTACAGACCACAACTAATGAATTGTCAATATCATTGCTCTTGATTTTATAGTATAATACTCAAATTCGTCAACATTACTGATTATACTTTTAGAGTTATCAAGATTATGCCACAACAGATTTTTGAATCACGTTAGATATATCAGAATCGTGTTGTGGATGTGAATTGTGAAAGATCAGATTTTCTCTTGATAGGCTCTTCCATATGTGGGGGAGATAAAGGTGAAAAACCGAAAATATACTATCGAAGAAAGGTACAAATACAAAAATATATTAAGTTACTAAATATTGGACCAGAAATGGGCAAGTGAGTATGATCCATATCCTCTATGATTGGTGTAATCTTCTGCATCCGTATCTTCCTCCATACTCCTTTAGCTTTTAACGCCGTTGGATCACCTTAATGTGTAACTGATACGTATACAAGTATACATACACACATACATATTCTGCATATATGATACCTAGCATATATATCTATATATATTGGTATTTGAACGGTATTCAAACTGCATTTTTTTTCCTAAAAATATTAATCAATATGAAACTGAATCTAATGTGAATCGATTTGGTTCTATTTCGTACATGCTTTTATTTCAATTTAGATTTTATTTAAATTATTTTATGGTATTCGAAAATAAAATTGTTCTAATTAACCAGACTATTTTTATTTTGTTTTCGTTCGATTCTCTAATTAAGCCAGTTATGTTTATATCTACAATTAGTTTGACATCAGCAGACTACATATTATGCGTCCAACCAAAAATATAGTATCTCCGCCTTCAAAAGTTAAAATTATGTGTAACAATCTACGCATGACCGTTATGATATATATTACATAATTATCTCTAGATGACTATGAATATGTAACATAATAAAATGAACTGTCAAAATTAAAGAGTAAATTTATTAATTTTTCTATTGTAGTTCATTTTTGTTACGAAAATGTTGATTTAGATTCATTGGCGAAGTTAGTAAGAACATCCCATAGAGAATTATATTACATTGACTGTGAAAAAAAAACATAATGTCTGGTCATTCTCATCATATTCTGATTTTCCGTGTCTTTTCATTCACAATAAATAAGAGATGGGATGTATAACGCTTTTTCTAATTTGTGAACGACACCAAAAATAAAATAAAAATAGAGTTTATATTGTTTACTTCATTTTTGTTTTCAGTTACGTCTTCTTTTGATGTGTGGTGGATGATGTCCATTACAACTTTACAAGCATTAATTCAAGAGGTCCCAAAGGAGTTGGTTAGTAGCTGTAATTGGAATTCACAAATTTATTTTCGGTATGTTTCTATTATTGTAGAGTTCGTACTCTATAATTTTTCCAAAACCTTATATCAAAAATCGTTTTTAAACGAAAGGTTTAGCAGAAAAAGAAAAAAAAAACTTTTGAAAACATAGAGAAATTGGATATACATATTGATTAATGCTGGAAAGAGTATATCTTCTATTCGACCGGATGTAATCGAGTGGTAAGGAGACGGAACATTAACATGTTTTAGGTTTAATTCATATGCTGTTGTAAGAAACTAAGTCACAACTATCTTCATTATTTAACATTGATATGAGTTCATGTTTGAAGGTCTATTTGAATATCCAGAACAAAGTTTATTCGTAAACTAAACATCTTTTAAAAAATTAATCTGGACCTCTTCATGAATCTAGGATATTCTAAGTTAATAAAGAAAAATCTAGTTTGAAGATTTATGGACCAACAATTCCAAATCTTATTTATATAAAAACTTCTTACAAAACATATTATTCAATTAATTTGGATATTTTATTTATCAGTCCAATCCACTTTTTTTTTTAATTACAAATAACTTAGATTGTGACTCGTAACAAATTGAATAAGAAGGTGAAATAAAAATAAATATATAAATAAATAAGAAAAGTAAATGTGAAATTCAGCACAACATTTCCTTTTTTACTGATCTAAAATATTTCTAAAGCAATTATTTTTTTCAATCATACTTTGTAAAAAGAACCTTTAAAGCTATAGATTTTTATTTTATTTTCTTTGTTTTTAATTCTAGAAAACAATAAATCTAGAACACTTATTTTCTGCTATAGAAAATTTGTATGTAAATCATTAAATCATTTAATCATACAATCAAAGTCTTACAGAAAAATTATTCATAACTACATGAAAAATCTACAATTTTAATTATACAGCAAAAAAATATAAAGCTATAGTTCTTTCGGATCAATTTCTAACTCACTTTCATTTTTTTGGCGACTAAGTATATGTTCCATTTTTTTTTTGTCAATCTAACTTTTAAAATATAAGTATATGTTCCATTTGATTGGTTCATAATAGAGTTAAAAGTCAGTTGAAATTTACTACTTTATTAATGCTATAAATGTCATCCAGTCTTACTGTTTGTTAGTCGATACCTGACAAACCGAAGCTCGATTATATAATTTTCATATCATCACATTATTTTACATATTTTCTCGGTTCCTTAAAGATATATATTCTAGAAAAAAAAATTGTTTCTAAAAGATCTATTTTTACATTTTTAATGCATATTTTATTAACTATTATAAACTTCAAAATAATTAATTGCACTAACTGATATTTTTTATTGATTTAAAATTATGAAAAGAAAATAAATACAAAAACTATGCAAATTTATTGTGTTTTATTAAAAGTGCGAAAAAATAGAATATGAATCTTTTGGAAACATAGAGAGTAATTATTATTGAGTTCATCCGTCGCAAGATTTTTGTAACTGTAAAGATAAAAAAAGTATGTAGACGCAAATAAAATAGACATTATAAATTTCTAAAATATTAATTGACAGTCGATATTAATTTATAGGTTTTTATAGTTCACCGAAGTCATGAGATAAAAGATATTGCTTGCAAAAGTACAGGTGTCTACTTCTCGAATGACCCAGGTAAAGCCCAGAAGGCTTCTTAATAGGCCATGTTTTATTTTTCAACTTGTTAAATCCAAACTGATTGAGAACGGCAAACTAGTTTTCGTATTGTAGAGGCATAGATGGAAACCCACAAGCATATCGAATTAAAAAAAATATAAAGGTCACGGATAAGACTAACAACAATAGCTAAAAAATATTATTTTATTAATTAAACAAGGAAAAAATTAAGAAATGTCCATGAGAAATGGACAAACAAAACAAAACCCTAACAGAAAATGAAAGAACACCAAAAACAAAGTAGACACGCTTAGTTCTTCTTGGCATGCTTGATGTGACAAGAGTACTGAAGGAGAGGAGCAAAGAAATGGCTCTTAAAAATCATGTGGAGATGGTCGTTACACTTCTTGTCCATATTCAAAACGATCTCACAACACTCTTTGTCCAAAGATAAGTCGTTCTCTGCCCAACTCGAAAAGACCTGCGAGAAACATTTCTCAGCCCCTTTCGACTTATCCCCGGTCAAGCATTTCTCTAACTCACCGGACTGCGACACGTGAAGAGACTGGAACGGGCTAAATGATCCTCCTGAAAAACCAGGGAAGTTCGGTATTCTTGGGAACTGTGGAATAGGGATGTTCGGTATTGCTGGGATCTGTGGGATAGGAATGTTCGGTATTCCTGGGATCTGCGGGATCTGTGGGATCTGTGGGATTGGAATGTTTGGTATCACTGGAATCTGTGGGATCTGTGGGATTTGAGGGATGTTTGGTATCCCGGGGATGTTGGGGATAGTGGGGAATGAGCCAGGGGGTGAAGGTGGAGCGTTTGGATCGGAGACCTCGGTGCAAGCCCAAGAATCCTTAGAGTCACCGAACTCTCCATTGTGGTTTGCTAGGTCGGACGGCATAGGCCACGTTTTTTTTTGTGATCCCACGGCTGGATGTGGTAGAGCGACGAGGCATAGTATAGCTACGATGACAATGATGCTCTTCACCATGGTTAAGGCGGTTTGGAAACAAATGATATTTCTTAGTTGTAAAACCTAAAAATGAGTGAGTATGCATCCGTTTATATAGAACACATATTTTTTAGGGAAAGATCATACAAAGATGATGACGACGGAATATCCGCATATACGTAACATGAATATCTTGTTATCTCGTAAAACTAGTTTGTTGGACCTATTATCTCGTAAAAAACAATTTTATATTTTTAAAATCACGTCGTTTAGATTTCACAATCTTACTACTGTAACTAAATATGTTGACATAGAAATGAAAATATCTCTCGAATATTTTTTCCTGAATCATTTGATACTTGTTATTGACGAAGATAGTCTTTTTTTTTTTAAACAAAAAAATCACCAAGTAGAACGCCGTGTATATATGATGCGTTTGTTTCAAAAGATCTTTAGGTTAAAGTTGTTTAAACTATATATATAGCAAATCTCTGCAGTCAAATGCCTATTATATATACTTTTTGAATATACCAAAGGATATTTACACATATTTTCGATTAAGTTTAATTAATAGTTTCTTCGTCGGAATATTCCAACGGCTACGCTTCCTCGAAATATTCCGACGGCTATATTTCTTCTGAATATTCTGTTTTTTTTTTCAAATATATAGAATAATTATTTTATTTTTTTTTTAAAATATTTATATAATAATTATTTTAAAGTATAAAATTAATCTGAAATAGAAAATATATTATATTATTTAAAGTTTTACAAATTAAACATTCATAATTTTTTTTAAGAAAACACAAACTAGAATTCATGCGGAAACATCCGTCGCTTCATGTCCAGCAACTCATGGTTCTTAATCTTCGTTTCCTCCACTTCAGCTTGCTGATAGGCCATTCTAGCAAGAATGGTGGCGTTATGGGTACGTTGGTGGCTTTTTGGGTCTCTAATGCTGCTATATGGTCATCCTTGTTCTGTAGCTGCTCTATAAGTGTCGGATAACCAAAAGCCGGTTCTTGAGTAGAAGAAATTGACTTGGAGCAACGAGCCAACCCGAACAAACGACCTTTCTTCTTTGGAACCGCCTGAAAAAAAAACGAGAAAACATAAAAAATTGAAACAGTGAAAAAGACGATGAAATGAAAAAATAGTAAAAATTAAACTGTAAATTAAAATGAAGATCTTACCGACTCAACGAGTTCGTTGATTCGAGCTCAAGACAGGTTGGTGGAAGCAGCAGTAATGGCGTCATTGTCAATTTGAAGATGAGATAGGCGTTGGATATCTTCATCTTTCTAGGTTTCGACCAAGTCGATCACCTCCTTCACAACAGCATTCAAAATCTCTCTCGTCTTCTTGTTGGTATACGCCTCCTTCATAGCACGAGTTCATCAACCGGCTCACCATCATTTTCTTGCGCCTGAAAAAGCATTTGTTAATAAAAAGCATTAAAATTGAAAAAAACACAAAAATTGAAATAAACAAGCAAAAAAAAAATCAACTTACTAATCGATCCTCTAGAGTGAGCATATTGTAAGCACCCAAGTTGTGTTTGTAGACGTCCTTCCCGCCACGTATGCTCTTGCGGTTACCGGAGTTGGTCACCGAGGTCTCTTGTGTCTCCACCTTCTCCTTATGCACTTGTAACTCGAGCCACACCGTGTCGTTAGTCGGTTTTGGTTTCTTTCCCTTGAGCCACTTTTGCTTCCATTCATAAACATGCTTCCCATAATTATCCATGAATTTATGGTGGAATTCATTACGGATATAGGCCGTATGGAGGGATTCCAGTTGAATTCTTGCTGAAAAAACACAATTAGTAGAAATTTTAAGTCAAAAATTAAAAATATAAGTTTAAAAAAATTAAAAAGAAACATCGCAAACTAACGGAACCACATCTCCTGACCCTCGGGAAGGAATGTGGTGTATGTAGGATATCCCTTTTTGAGGGTCGAGTATATCATCCGATTGATGAAGCCGCTTATCCCATTCCCCGACCGGTTGAACCTAATAAAAAAATTGAGAATCAAACACAATATGATGAAAGAAAAAGATAAAATAAAGAGAATTCTAACCATTTTTGGTGTCGTCCTTTTGGATACAGAGTGAGAACGAAAAGATACTCTCGACCAGGCTGTTGAACCAATTGTTCAACAATCATGATACCCGGACCGACTGGAGGAGCAGGAGCGAGAGGAAAACCGTCAAGATTTTGGTATTGGGAAGATGAAGAATCACGAGAGGTGCCCGTCGAACCACCCCGACCTCTGTTGATTTGTGAGAATTAAAGAGAGATTAAGGAGATGATTCTTGAGAAAGAGAGAGAGAGATGGACTAGATCTAGAAACAAAGAGTGAGGAAGATATTTTCCTTAACTTTAACTCATTGTGCATTACAGCAAATAAATAGGCAAGTATGCCTGAGATAAAAAATAATTAAAATACTACAAGTTGGTACACAATGGTCAAATGCACGTGGGAAGAGCAGAAGTAGAGAATTTGAATTTGCCCATATGGTCACTTTCCATCATGGTCATCGTATTTGGAGTTGAGCATTGGTCAAGCTCTTCATGGTCACACTCGCAACAATCTATGGTCACGCTTGAACCAACCATCTTATTTATGGTTGACCATTGGTCAAGCTCTTCATGGTCACGCTCACACCAATGCTCATCTTATTTTATCTCAGTAATTCCTTCATGTCAATACTCCCCCTCAAGCTTGACCATGTAGAACAAGTCAAGCTTGGAAGCCATGAAGCAATCCCTCATTAAAAACTTAGCTAAGTAAAACCCAATGGGATAAAACCTAAGCCAAGGAAAAAGAGTAGATCACTTCAAGGAGGAGAGATTAATGACAT